GCCTTAACCGACAGCCACTGACGATAGTCAATTTCGATATTAATTGCAAAAATAACATTTAAGAAATGACTATACAGTTTCTACTTATGGTTTAAGTATACGACGGTAAACCGTTAAACACTATCATAATATATGTAATTTTTCTATAACGAAAAGCAGATAAGACTAACCAGATAAAAGTTACTGTAGTTAAGCCTCTTAACGACAAATAAATTTTACACAGGCTTACACTTAAATATTTCTAGATTGTGTCAAATACTGACATAAAGTAAGTAGTAAATATATTACTTACAATTGTCTGTCACTGCTCGTCTTTCAGAATGTCCTATCGTCTCCTCCTCGGCTCCGAGTCCGACCGTTGCAGTTTGAGCAAGGAATGCGCATGCGCAATTAAATATTCACGCCTACCAAGTGAGTTGGGGGCGGTGTTTTTTTGTATGAATATAAATATATATATATATATTTGTTATGTTTTTATAATGTTGACTTGAGAAAGCCAAGGTTCTGAAATTATTATTGTAGTTATTATTATTATTATTATTATTATTATTCATAGTAGTAGTAGTAAAAATGTTACTATTATTATTTATTATTTTCATTATTATATTTATTATTATCACTATTATTTATAATAATATTACATATTTAATATATAGAAAGAGAAAATATTGACAAAAACATCGTAAATAACAACAACAACAATATCATGCATGGTAACTATTTTTTCTACTTTTTAGAGAATATTTATAAGAGAAGTACATAGCTGTATTTATAGAAAGAGGCTCTCTTTCAAGGGGATCTTCATATTTGAAGATTAAAATATGACATCAAAACCCCTAGTTTAAATCACACACACTTAAAAAGCCAATTGGACTATTAGCTGTCACAAATGCATACAGGCTGTAAGAAATTATAGTCTGCCTCGACCCAGCTTCCACTCCAAATTGTGTATTAAACTATGCTCCTTTCTCTACAAAGAGCTTAATTATCATATAGATAGTTCTTTCCGATCTTAATCATATGTAAATAGTAACTCCGGAGCGATAATTTGTCACTTATAGCGTGGGAGCAGCAGCAGGCCGTCAAGAACCATCTGCTGACCAAAAGGGTACATGAAAGAACTGCTATGGATTCTGTTTAATGGAAATAATTAATTGTTCAGATCTGTCTTCTGTCCTTTGAGCAAATAGTGATTGTTTGAAATGGTTCTGAAGCTTCAGAGGTTAATTAAGATTTCAAATGAATGATATTTGCTAATTGTCATATTGGCAAATAAATCACACATTTGTGAAATATAATTACTATGACATTATGGCGCGCTAGCTTCGACTTTGCAATGCAATACAAATACAAACACAAATTTATTTTAATGAGGTTTCAAGATCATTTTTCGCTCCATTTCTCGTTTTCTCAGAGTATTACAGGCATTTCAGTCAAAACGTCCATCACTTCAAGTGTTCAAAGTAAAGCCCTCAGTCTGCTTTTAAAGATCCTTTAGAAAGAAGACTACCGTTGTGTCTAAGGTGATAGTTTCCACTTCTCCCATCTGGGCCTCACATGGTGGGCCTCACGCTGACAATTCTGCTCCACCGGACGGCTGAGGAAGAGAAAGATCCATCAAATTCAGTAGGAGGTGAAGCCACAGACAGGGAAAATACAGATGAGTTTGCTAATCAGTGACACAGGCGCATACAGTGTGTCCAGTATTCCCTAAGATTAATGATGGTTCCTCTTAAAGTCACTGCTGTCTTACTGTATAAGTGAAAGAACGAAATGGCCAATAAAAGCTACATTTTTAATCCAATTTAACTCAGAAAAAGATCAATGTAATTCTGATATCTGAGCATGCAATGTTATATTGGATGACTCAAATGGTTGTTGTAAGTAATTATAGTCTGCCTCGACCCAGCTTCCACTCCAAATTGTGTATTAAACTATGCTCCTTTCTCTACAAAGAGCTTAATTATCATATAGATAGTTCTTTCCGATCTTAATCATATGTAAATAGTACCTCCGGAGCGATAATTTGTCACTTATAGCGTGGGAGCAGCAGCAGGCCGTCAAGAACCATCTGCTGACCAAAAGGGTACATGAAATAACTGCTATGGATTCTGTTTAATCTTATCACCTTAACATTTGGTTGTTCCCACTTGAGTCTACCGAAGATGTGGGAACGGAAGGCTATCACTTTCATTGTTATCCGCAATTTACATTTAAAACGAAACTTAATTTACATGTTGAGCGGGAAGATGAACGTAATACTGTATAAAATGATTGAGCTTAGGATGTTCGGGGTTCAGTCTGACTCCGTTGAACCCAAGGTACTACATGTACTTTGTCACTACTATTCTGTAATAAAAGTTATTCTTCATCAAGATCTTCGACGTCTTCACTTTTTCTTACAGGCCAAACAAACAGGTTTGAACGTCCCTTCAATATTTCACTCCGGCATTGTCCAGCTCGTATTGTGATTCAGAAGGAGTAAACTCACCCAGAGGGGCGACACGTGCCTCTTGTGCTGGTGTGCTGAGATTCGATTCTGTGGAGAGAAGCACGTATTAGTGTTAGTTTCTCTCATGAAGTGCTCCTGAACTCAAACTACAAACTAAGACTCGAGTTCTACATTAGCATAACCGCAATAGGAATGCTGCATTGGCTTGTCATGCGGCGTACGGAAAGGTCGTAGAGTGGGCATGATGTCAGCAAGGGGCAAAATGAGGTCACTGTGTCTTTCTCCTATAGATATCCATATTACATAAGGCAAGGGATTTACAGAGGTCTTGCAAAATACAGAGCATGTCACAGCAATAAGACATCAATAGTGGGAGGAAATTTTTACATAAAACAGAACAACAGTTAAAAAAAAGATCAAGAAGTCTCAGTTCAGATCAGAGATTAGGGAGAAAAAAATGCTCACTTTAATATATAACTGGCTCAGATTTAGTCAGGGTTTTATGTTGATCATAGAAACATAATGCTCATAACAGCAGGCAAGCAAAACAGCCAACTCAAGGTCAGCCAAAGCCCATTTCATAGTAGCTTACAATCAAAGGCTATTGAGACACTCCACTCGATTTCCTAAATGAAAGTCTCCTTTTTAAAGTGTGGGTATGTGAGTGTCTTTAAGGGTGATGGTTATAAATCCATGCCAGGTCTACCTCTAAGCTCAGAGAGCGAGTGAGAGTGAGCGAGAGAAGGCCTGGCACCAGTGAGTGGGTGAGAAATAATCAGCAGGATTGTTTGGCAGAAAGAGAGAGGATCAGCGCTGGAGGCCTCTGAGCTCCACGCTCAGAAACTTCTTAAGAAATTGCACGTTGTAGGTGGAATTCATCACTCATCACAGATGTATTGTTTGTTTGCGGCTGCAGCTGGGCAAAGACCTCCTCAGGTTTATGTCCAGGTATCTCAACGCAAATGGGTAAGTGCTTGATGATGAAAGACTATAAATTTACATCAAAGACATCTGTGAGTCTCTGGGCTCCGACTGTCACAAACAGAACTATAAATAACTGACAGAGGGTTAACATAGGTTGCAGAATGAAGGAAACCATTGCCCCCTGGAGGACACTAAAGTACACCCAAACTTAAAGGAGAGATTTAGGAAGTAAATATACTTTGTACTACAATAAAAGGTTGTGGTGCAATGTATAGCAGGTTTAAATGCCAATGTTCCGTACCTGAAAATGACGCACGGTGAGGCCAGCCCAAAAAGTCCAGTCCAACAGGTGTGCTCTGGGAAAAGAAGTGGTCTTTGAGAGAAACAGAGGGGAACTGCTCTGGAGAAGTGAGGGAAAGTCTAGCACGCACCTATGAATGAGATACAAACATGCTCATTATAATTATTAATAATAATGAGTGAATACATATATATTTGCTATTTATAATTTTCTACTACACTACTAAATTTACTATTTACTATGTGTGTGTGTGTGTGTATATATATATATATATATATATATATATACTAAACAGTAAGAAACAGTGTATATTATTAATGATAAATTAAAATTAAATAATTAATTTAATAAAATAATTGTCTGTATGTCTATATTTATTTACAATGAAAAGCACTGAAAAACAGAGTTAAAAAATGACAAAAGTAATAATAATCATCATTGTTATTATTAATAAATATTCAATATAATATATATATTTAATATATGTACTGAGAAAAACTGTGTAAAATAATCATTTTAAATGATTTAGATTCATATGCTCAATTGAGATTTCTGACAGACATCGGAAATAGTGAAAGTGTACGGACAGATTTTTGTGCATTCAGGCAAATTACAAGAAACCGAAGAGAAATTGGAAATCCTAAAGGGTCTACAAGGGAATGATTCCAAGAGTACAAAACAGGAAGGAAGCAGAACAGGAGAAGAAAAGGTGCAGTGGGAGATGCTGATGGTCGGGTTGTTCTCCCTTTTTGATGAGTTCCTTACTTTCTTGTGCTTCTGAGATGTCGGTGTGCTAAGCTGACGCAAACTTTGCCGCGTGTTAACCTTCTTTTTACAGATGTTCTCCACATCAGTCAACGTTTCATATGAGCATGAGCGCCGACGTGTTTCGGGCGAATTGTTCTTCCTCTCCAGGTCAAGCGCCACCACTCTGATGCCCTGAAGAGACACGGTCCAACCGTAGAGGTCTGAGATGGGTCTGGGTGCAGCTTTACCCTGCTCTCTGGACTTCAGCCGAAGCACACATGCACTTCCTTGTTGTCTTCTCTCTTCTGACTGGATGGCTGGCTCAGTACTGTGCTCTACATGCTTTGAGTGCAAATTTAGGTGGTTATTGTACAGTATATGTACATGTCTTTTGATGGATGTCATATATTAACGTTTGGTAACCATTAGCGAGATATTTACACTGCACTACACTTTTTTATACTTTTCCAGTTAAGACATCATTAAACTGTTAAAAAATATCTCTAATGTATGTGTATTTTGTATGCACTGGCAGATTAATGGATTACTGTTCAAATGTTTGGGGTCAGTAATATTTTTAGTAAAGAAATTATTTATTTTATTCAGCAAAGATGCATTAAATTAATCATTAAATTACATAAAAAAATTTACATTTCTATTTCATGTAAATCTGCTTTTTTCCTCTTTTTTTCTCCCAGAAAAAAAAATTTATCACCGTTTCCACAAAAATATGAAGCAGCACAACTGTTTTCAACACTGATAATAATAAGAAATGTTCCTTGAGCACCAAATCAGTATATTAGAATGATTACTGAAGGCTCATGTGACACTGAAGGTGGAGCTTTGCCATCACAGTAATAAATTACATTTTAAAATATCTTAAAATACAAAAGTTTTCAATTGTAATTTTAAACTGTAATGATATTAACTTATTATGATTATATGATTTTACTGCTTTAACTGTATTTTAAATTTTAAATGAATGCAGTCTTTGTAAACATAAGATATTTTTTTCCAAAAAATGGTAATGGTTTCTTTCAAAAAAATCTTACTGACCCAAAAATATTATCAATGCACAATGCTCTTACATTCAATAAACAATCTATGAAAACAAACTTTAGAATATTTTACAGCTTCAAGTGAAAAAAAAAGTCTGAAAAAAAACCGTTTGCAGTATAAGCCACACTTTTTGAAAGGGTTCACTACATTATTGTGCCATGGATATATAGACAATGTGATCGTAAATATTCCTTGTTAGCCACTAGATGGCACTATTTTTGAGAAGTGCACATATTTCTCTGAAAGCTCTTTAGTATTGTGACTTAAACATGTAACAACCCTTGTAAATATCCTGACTGAGTCCAACTCAGCAACAGAAAGCAGGAATGTATTTTGAAAAATGCACCATAGAATATGGTAAAACGCTAAATATAGAAAGTGAGCAAATCACATAGCAATCCTGTTCAAAATGTTCAAAGGACACATCTAAGCTCTCCTAACATCATAAACTTCATAACTGCCTTTGACTCACCTCTGGTTTGTTGATCAGGGATGCTGAATTCAGGCTATTTTGAGACTGGCTGTCTGAACTGCTGTCCTCTAGTAAGCACTCAGAATCAAAAGAGTGGGCTGTAGTGAGTTGTGCTGTCCTTGGCTTCAGAGACGTCGGTCTCAGAGGTGGATCAGAGAGACCATCAGTGCTTACTCCCTGACCGAGCGAGCAGAGAGAAGATGCAACAGATCTCGAGGGGTAACGGAAGCTCCTCTGGTGTGTCCAGCCCAGACCAGGACTGTGAGGTTTGGGGCTCATGGGCCTCGTCGGAGTATTAGTGGTCTCAAAACAGCTTAATGATCTGGTCCAGGTAGGTGACATCTGGTTTGCGAGCGCAAAAACAGTGGGGTGTACAGGTGATTGTGACCTATCCTCAACATTGGCCTCAAAGTCATCTACCGAGACCTCAGAATCTGAGTAAGGGGCACAAGGCAGCTCACCACCTTCCAGACATTTACTATCATCAGACTGAGGTCCAGATTTCAAACTCTGTGAATCAGAATGGCACTGGTTCATCAAACTCTTTTGAGAAGCTAGTGAGCTGTTAAGTCTGGACCTGTTCTGATGAGCACAGAAGGCACAATCGATATGGCTCTGATGTATGGACTTGTCACAGGTCGTCCCAGGAACCGATAGAGTTCTTTTGTAAAGTTCTGCTTCCTTAGAGCGTTTCATCTTCCTCCAGGACTGCTTGGTTTTTACCTCTTCGTTCTCTGACTGTGAAATCTGCTCCTGGTTGTCCCTCTCGGGATATCTGGACTCAAACAGGCTAGACAGAGACTTGTGAGCTATTGCGAGCTTCATGCGTAAGTTTAAGTTGTCTGTACTTTTGCTTCTCTTTTGTTGCAGTTCCTCTGTCGTTGGGGAAGCTCTAAATTTCAGTATGTCTCCATCTTTGTGCTGTTGCTGCTGCTGATACAAATTTTGACATTGTGCATATTTCTCTCTATTGTGCAAGTTCAAAGAAAAAGCTTCTTCAAAAATATCATCGTTGGAGTGGTCAACTAATTTTGAAATGTCTGTAAGATGATCTGTACTATGAGAAATAGGGGTCTTGTACAGTGAATGGTTGGATTTGTTACGTGTGAGAGACCTATTGTACTTCACCTCATTCCGTTCATCTCCATCCTCGTTGGAGTCCTTAATTTCTGGATCAACCTTGTTATTGCCTTTGTGTTCCCATTTGATCTTGCGGAATGAGGGGATTCGAGAAAAAACTGAAAACACAGAGCCCTTCCCTGATTGGGTTCTCTTATTTCTTGCAGAACCACGAAGACTAGATGATGACTGAGTGCTGTCCTCAATCTCTTCGCTGTTGGTACTTGAGTCGAGGTCTTGTAACACAAAACTGGAAACACTATAACCATCACTGCTATCAAATCCATTTGATAAAGAGCTCATTGTTTCTCCAGCATCTGGTTCATTCATGACAGTGGCTACACTGGCTTTTGTCCACATGGCAGAAACGTCCGCATGTGGGCGGGTTGTGACGTCATCACAAGAGCTCCATTCCTCACTGAATCCAACTTCTGATAATGGACTTCCTCTCTGTTGCTCCTCCAGTCCGTTTTCAGTCACAAATGAGCTTTCTGGAGAACGGTCCAACTCCAAAATGGCCTCTAAATTAGTGATGGGTAAAATATGGCAACATGTAACAAATGCGTCCTCGATCTCCGAGTTGTGCAGTTGCAAAGATTGCTTACAAAGAGGATCAGAAGTTTCACATATTGAATCAGTGCTTTCAGGAGAGTTTGCCATGAAAGTTTCAAGCTTTCTCTCCATGTTTTCTAATGCATAAGTATCATCGACCTTAATAGAGCCACCAACCAGTGGTAAAATGCTTTTCTCTTGGATGAGCTCCGGATGTTTGTGTGCAAGCAAATGGCCAATATGCGAAAATTCACAGTTTGTAGAGTCTGCATTAACCTCTCCATGTGTGCTGTACTGGTCATCTGTGTGTGTGGGACTCAAGGTTTGCAACACTGCAGTTCTGCTTTGACTGATGCCGTCTGTGCCCTTGAGCTGAAATCCTCCTGCTGTCTGCTCTACCTCCAGTGCAGACGAGTGCAGCTGGCAATCCTTTCCACCACAGCAATCACAGAGCTGCTTTAATATAACATTTCTATAGCTGCTACATTCATTAAATTCAGAAGGTTTAGCAACATTATCTTCGTCATTCATTGCAGTCCTCATTTCAGGTGCTTTAAAGGGAGTGGCCTGACTAGCAGGGGCGCTATAAGACTCACTGTCTTTGCAATCACCACCTTTTGAAACTAAAGATCCAGCATTGCTGTTAACCCTGCTGTATTTTTGCAAAGAATTGGGCAAAGAGATCTGTTCACCTGAGGCACACTCTTCTAAAGTAATGGCTTTAATATTATTATTTGTGTCTGAGCTGTATTCATTGTTTCTACTGTTCAGCTGGAAATAATCAAAAGGAGATTGAGCATTTGTGAAAGGATCAGTACATGCACTAGACCAAACATCAACATCCGGCTCAATTGTTTCAATTGACTCATTTTGCCTTGCTTGTTTGTCAGACAGGGTGTCGAGTCGGCGAAATTGTTTGGAGGTCTCTGTATATTCTATAAAGCAATGTGCTACTTGTTTGCAGTTCATATGAAGGCCATCACTGAGCTCAAAGCAATCATCTGTGGGGCTGACTTGAGATTTGTCATACGAAATCTCAAACAGACCAGCCAGAGATTCGACAGGACTGTCTACAGGACACCCATCGGCTCCAGCTGTCTTCATGTCAGGACACGTAACACTCAATGACTTGGGCCTAGTGTATTCGATGCATCCCGAACTATCAGAGTAAATTACTGACTGCTCTATTGAGGGAACTATTGTACATTCTTTCTGATACCCTTTAATAATGTGATGTGTTTTGCTATCCTTCTGTGTTCCTTTTAAAACGTCACCATCATTGGTATCAAAAGTTTTAGTGTTAACATAAACTTGTGCTTCAGTGAATTCACCCTGTGTGTTACAATTAATTCTACTATTAGGGCACTGATGGGTTTCATAAAAATCAGCCTCAGGCTCATGTTCCCCTGAATAAGTTTGCCCACTGTCCTCTAAACAATGACTGTCCATGTGATAACTACTAATTGAGTAATCCTTTTTTTTAGTGTGCATTTGTAATACTGGGGCATTTTGGTAACCATAATGAGGTCTGGCCTGCAGATCTGACTGTTCTGAGGTCCGTTCATTGATCACACGCTGATGCAATGAGTCTGACACTCCAGCAGAAGTTGCATTAGGCACATTTGAGAAAGCTCTCTCAGCTGCAAAACACTCACATTCAGAAACAACAGGTGGGGTGTCATTTAAGTCCTGTTTTTTTAAATTTAGACTGTTATTCTTTTCGAAGTTCAAATCGAGTTCTTTGTCAGTATCCTTTGATGAAAGCCTTCCAGAAGTTTTCAAGGATGGATTGACTTCACAATGCAAACGTTCCATCCAAACGTCCACGCAGTCCTGTTTTAATTGTCCCTTTTCATAAAAAGCCACTGTGTTTGAAATAAAACCAGAGTCTGACTCAGTCACAGTCCACTGGGTGTTCGTAGATTTTGCCTTAATGAAATCAATTTGTGGTTGTGTGTCTTCTACTGAGGACTGTGATTGGCTGTGTTCCATTGACGTTTGTGATTGGTTGTGCTCAATGAAGTTCTGTGATTGGTTTTGTTCAGCTAAATCCTGTGATTTCCTGTGATGTACGGAATCCTGTGATTGGCTACATTCTACTGAATTCTGTAATTGCCTGTGTTCTGTTGAAATATGTGGTTGACTGTGTTCTACTGAGTCCTGTGATTGTGTGAGTTCTACTGAATCTTGTGATTGGCTGCATTCTACAAAATTATTTGATTGGCTATGTTCTACTGGGTCCTGTGATTGGCTGTGTTTGATGAAATTTTGGGATGGCATATCTTCTACTGAGCTCTGTGACTGGCTGTGTTCTACTGAATTCTGTAATTGACTGCATTCTACGGAACCCTGCAATTGGGTGTGTTCTACTGGGGTCTGTGATTGGCTGCATTCTACAGAATGCTGAGACTGGCTGTGTTCTATTGAGTCTTGTGATTGCCTGTGTTCTACTGGGGTCTGTGACAGACTATGTTCTACTGGGTCCTGTGATTGGCTACATTCTACAGAATGCTGTGACAGGCTGTGTTCTACTGAATTCTGTAATTGACTGCATTCTACGGAATCCTGTGACTGGGTGTGTTCTACTTGGGTCTGTGACAGACTATGTTCTAATGGGTCCTGTGATTGGCTGTGTTCTACTGAATTCTGTGATTGGCTGCATTCTACAGAATGCTGAGACTGGCTGTGTTCTACTGGGGTCTGAGACAGACTATGTTCTACTGGGTCCGGTGATTGGCTGTGTTCTACTGAGTCCTGTGATCGGCTGTGTTCTACTGAGTCCTGTGATCGGCTGCATTCTACAGAATCCTGTGACTGGGTGTGTTCTACTTGGGTTTGTGACAGACTATGTTCTACTGGGTCCTGTGACTGGCTGTGTTCTACTGAGTCCTGTGATCGGCTGTGTTCTACTGAGTCCTGTGATCGGCTGTGTTCAACAAAATCTTGTGATGGCCTGTCTTCTGTTGAGGCCTGTGATTGGCTGTGTTCTGCTGAGTCTTGTAATTTGCTGTGTTCTGCTGAGTTATGTGTTTGGCTGCATTCTACAGAATCCTGTGATTGGTTATGTTCTGCTGAGGCCTGTGATTTGCTGTGCTCTACTGAAGACTGTGATTGGCTGTGCTCTACTGAGGGCTGTGAATGGCTGTGTTTTGTTGACTCCTCGACCTTCTGTTCAATAGGCTTCTCAACTGATACAGACTCATATACAAAAAGATGACGTGATACAGATAAACTGATCTTATTTTCATCAACACCCAGCTCATTACATTCGGCATCTTTACTATTCGCAACAGATGCATTAGAAATCAACTGTATTTCAGTGTTACTACTGTCAATATCATTTTGCTGTAACTGTTTCTCACTTGAGGTTATGAACTCTATTTGCGGCTCATTGTGTCCTGACTGAGTGCTCGTGATATTTTTGTTAATTTGCTCCCATTTTGATTTTCCCTCAAAGGTGTCAGCAAACTTAAACTTGGCTCCATCACCGTCTGTTAAGGTCAATAATGAGTCATTAGCACATGGCTCAGTGAGTGTTTGCGGTTTCACAGAGTTCTCTAATGCCAGTAGAGGTGTTACTACATAGGATTGGCCATTCCTTGAAGAAGAATCAACTTCAGGTTCCACTGGAAAATTGCTGAAAACCTCCTCACATTCCAGAGTACCCTTAGCTTGAGACATTCCAGTGCCATCAACTCCCATGTGCATCACCCCCATATTTCCAGTCTGTATTTGCAATTGCTCTCTATCCACTGTTCTACAGAGACTGTCAGCATGATTGACAGAATGATGCTGTTTTGTTGAAGAGGGATTTCTCCCTCTAACCAAAGGTGACGGTTTGACAAATGGAGAGTGTGAGTCCAGATGACCCACAGAGCAAGATCCAACCTCATAGCTGAGCGGTGTCCTGCAGCAGTCCTTAGTTTCATGACTCGATTCAGAGAAAGTGTCACTGGGCCATGAGTGTGTGTCAAAATATTCCTCTTTTGTGTCCTGTGCTGCTTCAGGAACCGGCTCACACCATTCCTGATGGTCCTGTTGCTCTCTATGCTCCTCCTGCTGAAACTCCCCATCATCCAGACAGGCTGCCTCACTCCCAGAGTCCTCTAAAGCTGGGGCCTAGGAGGACAAAGAGAATGTGTGAGTTATTTTGCTGTTCTTAACAAAGGGGACTTTATTTTTCTCAAAGTAAACAGTTTATAAGTGACATCAGTGAGGCGATTCAAAATAAGAATTGAACAATTTGTTGAGTCTTTTTTTTTTGTCTGCAATCAATTTAACTCTAAAGAGGAACATATGTTTGTGAAGTTACCCACAGAGGTATGATAATCATTCAATTACTCTTAAATTCTTTCCCCTCACAACTGGAACTAATGTGTCACTCAACCAGTCCTGATTTATGCAGCTAAATCAAAGCTCTTTAGGAAGCATCTGCTTATATGAAGCATCTGATCCATTAGCTCATTTGTTCAAGGAATTGTTTCCCATAAACAAAATTGTACATGATGATGAACAGATGCAGACGTAATGAACACACGAGCATAACAGATTGTATGAGTCATTAACATCATATTAGCACAAACAACGGGGGAACAAAAAAATGACAACTGACGAATAAAGAAGCTAATAAAAAGTAATTGACAGCAATACAACAGATTGCATATACTATAAGTAACACCATATATCACAGTCAATGGAGAAAAATGCATTTGTAGCCAGATAGTGTGGTTACAAAAATCTACCTGTAGGGACTAACCGGACCATACTTAACAGGAAAAAACCTGACCCCATGAGCTCCACTCATAGACAGTAGGCTATGGAAAGGGATGGGAACTTGCACCAGAGCAGACATTTGCGCTGTCATCCAGCTTAGGTCAAACATACAAACAATCCCCTAAGTAGACCACCAGCCAACCTGCTGTTCGCAACGCACTGTTTTTTTCCAGCACATTCCACAATCCCTTCTTATCAGCCTCATAACCCACTGGTCTGTATACCAGTAACTAACCATGTCTCCAATCTAGTGAGCTCAAAAGATTGTAAAAGTAGACAACAGACTAAGTCAGTCTGCTAACAAAAAAGATGAAAGCCCCCTGTCGTACCCTGCTTGTACTTAATAATTGAGGGGTCATTGGGCACAGCACATCTCTAGGTAATCTAGACAGGTCAAGCTACTCCAAACCCTTCAGGTTAAATTAGGGAGGACATTAAGAAGAATGGCTTTAAGTACAGCAGGTAACGAAGAGTGCCAAATACTGCACAGTCTTTGTCAATGTAAACAATGCATGAATCTTATGCTTGACAGACAGACAGACAGACAGACAGATAGATAGATAGATAGATAGATCACAGATTAAATAGCATTATGCATGAAAGAAAAAGGATTATAATAAAAAATTTAATATATACATGCACACATACAGAATACAACTAATTTTATAGATTTATAAATATATATATTTCTTTCATGCGTGATGCTGTTTTCTCATTTTAGACATTTAAACAAACTCCCTAATGTTCAATATCCTATTAACTAAACATACGTTTTACTTGTTTAACAGTGTTTATCAGTTTATCAGTGTCAAAACTATGACAGAGCACATAGTGGTACAACATAAGCCAAGAGTAAAACCTGTCCGCATTTGCCTCAGCCAACAACACGTCATCTGACCCCATTCAGGAACCAGAGCTTGTTTTGCCAAATTGATTACAGTTGAGTTCTCTAAATGGCTTAACATCTTAACACTATATCATAGGCTGGGCAGGAGAATGGGAGGATTGGGTTTGTGTTAAAGTGTGAATATACAATATACATGGTATGCGTATAAGATAAAAATGGATAGACAGAGACAAAAAAAAGCACACGTGATTGTGCACACAGGACTGCTAGTGCTACTGACCCTTAAAGCCACTTGACACGCTACATGATGACATGCCTGATAAATATTCATATATTTATTCACAAAATATTCACAGTCCTTCAGCTTGGTTCATATTTTATTTTCACTGAAAAAGTTTGTCACTCATTAACAACAAGCCATCTTATATATACAGGGTTAATAGAGGATCTTTGGGACATTTTTTTTCCCCAATCATCTATATATAGTAACTTCATGTCAAAAAAGTTGTCGACCCCATGTACATCCATGAAAACTACAGGTTAATTTTACATGAAAAATTAGATGTTTCTTATAGCCTTCCATGTAATTTCCATTATAGTACATCAGTACATCAGACATAATTCTTCAGCAAACAACAGTGCAAACAACGCTATAAAAAGAGATTATGAATAACTAATAACAAGTAAAAATAATTAAAAAAGCAATCAAAGTAATAATAATAGGGTATACACTCTCAGTCATTTAATAATATCCATATCATTACTTGTGTGGCAGAACAGATTGTTCTGATCTTAAGTCCCCACAATGTAGTTTCTTAAAGTCACTGGAACAACATTATAAAAGAGAGAGAGAGCGCTCGCTAATGAGATACACTGAGAATACACTGTGAGCTCAGCGTGCTTTTGCTTACATCATTCCTCATGGGTGCAGGATCACTGCACAGTCCAGACTGAGCGTCTGCTTCCTCTAACCCTAAAGACATGCAAATGTAACATCAACATACTGTATGCTTCTGCACATGCAGTGTGTTGAGGTCATGTGACGCTGACAGTGTAACAAGTAGCATGCTTTATATACTGTTGTTTATTGCCTGATGTTGTAGCATGATTTAATAATTAGATTCAGGGGGAAAAATTGCCTGTGCATTTTGACAAAGTTTTGGAAGCAACATTCTCTGTCTTCCACATCACATTGTTTTAATTATGCATCTATTTATGTAAGCATTGTGGATTAGAATACAAAAATAAGAACAACAGCCAAGTCATTAAGATGAATAGGATTGCTAACAATATCTTTCTCCAGGCATTATAAACCTCCTTAGTTTAGATTTATGATTCAGGAGTAGTGGTGGTTTGGTTTCAGGTGAGGGTGGTTTTAAAGACTGAGCTTCTTGTCTTCCCTGCCACTCCAACTCTACAGTATGATTTCTCCATCCAGCTAGGTTCTTCTACAATTACCCCATCAACTTCGGTCAGAA